GGAGCAACGGAAGCCTGCTCCGTCTGATGGATTATTAAAGATTGCAATATAATGTTCTTACTGTAATCGTTGGAATGCAAATCTGAATAATATACAGAACACAGTGGCACTGCCAATTCAGAAATAAATCATAACAAATGGCTTTAGAGCTGTATGTTGTTTGCAAATTGACAATAAGAATAATGATGATAATGAGAAGAAGCATGATGAATGTTCTGTTATAGCACAAAGAAAATGAAGAGGATATTGTTGCCTTGTAGACATGTGCAAGTCAGATCCGACTTGTTTTCATATGTGAATATAAGAAACACAAGTAACACTGTTTTATGTATTGCTCATTGTTTGTTCATGTTAGTCAATACATGTTTGGTAAGTGTTACCGAAATATTTTGACAAGGCACCTGCTTTACATCTTGGATTATTCTAATATTAAAACAGCTGCATTATGTAAATGCATAGTTAAAAGGAAATTTCTGCTTTCAGTTTATTTGCTGAATCACAATTTGTTGTGTCTTGTATGGAGCTGTTCAACTGTGAGACCGGATTTAAAACATTTTAAGACTCAAATTTCTGCTCTTTAGTGTCCAAGATTGGTGCAAGGCCACAATAACAAGAGTGCTTTTGTTGAGTCTTTAGCGGTCTGTTCTAAAATCATGTTTCCCAGCTTTGTGAGTCAGTGAAATGTGTTGGAAGTTGCTGGAAGTTTTGGCAGACAGTTTCCGCTGTCATTGCTCATCTTTTTAGCAACTGGCAAATATGTGACAATGGATCTTGTTAGAACTAAACTCAAGGTCCTTTGAACTGGGTTGCATTCAAGTTGTTTCACCTTAACAAAGTATGCTCTGGTGAGTTGTTTTTACAGCCGATTGGCGTCAGTCTGGGTAAAGGGCAGTGCAGAGTAATTGAATTGTCAAGAAAATCCTATTGGGTCGGTTCAGGGAGAGCGATCAGCACATGTGCTAGATTGGATTAAGGAACAATATGAGGATACTGTAGCCGTCCAGCACACGTTTCTAATGCTACCAAGAGTAACAATGCATGAGCATTAGACTATGAATGGGTATTTTTGTACTTCCTATAAAGCATTTGCAAAAATTCTGTAATATATGCAAATGTATTTGAAAGGGCAGTTTAAAAATGTCATTGAGTCCCCTTGTGAAAAGAAGTCCTCAATATCATGCATATTTAGGGATTTACAGGTTTTTTGGGATTTAACTGCATGGTATTATTATCTTTTCAAAATTCCACCTAATGTCAATGGGAGTTGCTTGACCACATGAATATGCCATTTGTGCCGTCACCTGAGCCATAAATGTCATGTGACTAATCACATGGAAACACATTTCTTGGATACAAAAAATCACAGCACAAATTGGCTGATGGCACCTCAAGAACAGTTTGTCACAATATATATATATATATATATATATATATATATACATGTGTAGAAAGATGCTTTTTTTTTATCTGTTGGTGCAGTTATGACCAGCATTGTTATTGTCAACTAAAACTATCAAAAAATAGGTTAAATAAAGTGGGGAAAAATATTATTGTAAATATAAAAGTACTTTAACTTATTTCAGTTATGTTTTTATTTTAAATTGAAGTACGAAACTGAATTCTAAATACTAATAGTATTATAAATAGTATAAAGTTAAATAGAAAAAAACCCCAAATAAAACTGACAAAAGCACACAAGAAAATAAACCAAACAATCTAAAACTGAAATATACTAATAAAAGCTAATTAATAGAAAATATTAAAGGAGCTGTATCCAAGAAATTTATTTCAATTAATCATAAATCATTTTCCCTGATATATCACTAAATATTAAATAATCATGTTCATTTCAAATAAAACTTATATCACTGACAGTCCGGCCAGGATATTGTCATTTAAAAAGCGAGGTTGCAGCCCTCAACTGATGTTGATGTTGGCATGTTGTGTTTTTTTCTGATGCGCCACACTCCACCTATATACCAATCTGTTGTGGCATTCGGGTTGCCAGCTCTTCTCTAGTAATCTCAGCTGCAAATACAAACGTGTCGAAATCGGATAAAAAAAAAAGTCTAATGTTGCGAAACAAAAAAAAAAAAACTTGATATGAATCCGAAATACTTTGTGACAAAGTCCAAAATAAATAATTAACAGGAAAAAAACAGCATATCTGGCAACCTCGAGTCAAGGGGTGATACACCACTCAACATGAATAAATACTATAATAGTACATAAATAATATTCAAAATGACATTGTTTACAACATCAGCAGGGGCTAATTGGGACATGCTAACAAGCTAAACCGAGTCCTTGTCTGAACACGTTCCAAATTCTATACAGAGACATTGATTAAGACAATGCATCAGTCATGGAGAAAACGTTAGGATAAGACTTTATTGCAATGGAGTTTCAATTAATGGCTTCTCCTGATAGAGGAGGCAGGAGAGCAGAAACTCTTGGGATGAAAAATGACACTATTAAATAGACAGTTGTGGTACTCTTTGACTAATCGGTTTTGGTCCCTGACAGAGCCGCCCGGGGAGACAAACGGCACAGGGCTTGAGTTCACACGGTTCAGAGAAAGCGCAAGACAGAGAAAGAAATGTGCTATCATTTACTTAAAGTTGTTTTTAAGTAGTGCTTATTAGTCTTTAAACAACTCATCCATGAGCAAGAATAATCTCTCGAATACCTTCGTTTTGGAAATACAAGGAAGAGAAGGACTTAACATTGGATTCAACCAATGTCAAATTTAGTCGAACATCTGCATGTGTTTGCACATGTACGGTCCCCTTTGGCACCCTGTTCTTCGAAAGGCCTTACGCAGGAACTAAACTTAATGTGAATGAATGTTAGGCCTGTGGTGTGGGGTTTTCATGGCCTTCAGTTTAGCTAAATCCTATTGCTCCATTATATGACTTGCCTTTGGCTGTGTGCAATGGAATGTGACACAGGAACTGGAGAAAATAAAACTAAATCACCCTTCCGGCTCAGTCCAGTCAGAGAAAAATGGGTTGTTTCAGCTTTGTAATTGATTTAATACTGATTCTTTTAGCGATGGGATTGGCCAAACCTGGAGGGTAATATGGTGAAAGTGCAAGTAGTTTGACAGAAATACTTGGAAAAGAAATACATTATGTTCTGTGGTGTCTTAAGCTATTGTCATGACCTACATATGACGTCCATGCCTACGTGAGGATTGTGGGTGTAAAATCGACTATGCTCACTTGAATGCAGTCCCATCAGAGCTGAATAAAATGTGTTTTATAATGATGTTAGTATATTTAAAGTTAAATAACCATTACCTTTATACTATAGTCATGCTGGTCGCACATTTCAGTTAAAAATGTTGTGGCTGGGAAGATTTTTTTATTGTTTTTGAAAGAAGTCTCTTATGCTAACCAAGTCTGCACATATTTAATCACTAATATTAATATTGTGAAATATTGTTACAAATTCAAATAAAAATGTAATTTATTCCTGTGATTGCAAAGCTGCTCACTGTAAAAATTAATAAGCTTTATCTAATCAATTAAATTGATGGCAACAGATGACAAGCAATATTATTAATTAAATTGACAAATTAGAATTGAGTAATAATTAATCAAATTATTCCTTAAAAAATTAACCATTTAAAATGAATAAAGTTTTAAAAAAAAATCAAAGATTCATTAAGAACTATTTTATATTGCCAACAGTGAAGATAAGCAGAATCACTGAGGGCGAAAACCGTAATTTTAAAACAAACCTAATAGAAACACTGATCATAATGGTGACTTAAATGTACGTTTTACTCACTTTAAATGGTTAACTTTAACTTAAAATAATTAATTTGGTTAATTATTATTCAATTCTAATTTGTTAAATTGAATTAATAATATTGCTTGTAATCTGTTGCCACAATTTTCTTTTACAGTGCATTTTCAGCATCATCACTCCAGTCTTCAGTGTCACATGATCATTCAGAAATTATTCAATATTTTATTATAAATCTTGAAACCATATTTTTCTGGAAACTGTGATTAAAAACAAAAAATACAGTAATTTTTTTTTTACAATACAATAATTTACAATAAAATACAATATTTTTTTTTAGAACAGCATTTATTTGAAACAGAATTTATGGTTACACTTTATTTAAAGGTGACAGTTACATTGGACTTACTCAGTAAGTACTACTGAATAATATTAAATGTTTTAAAAGTATCTGTCAATCTCCCTCTGGATGAATTTGTCGTAATATGCGATTTTAAATGTGAATCCAAAACATGGCAATAGCACTTTGTTCGCTGGCTTATTTAATTAATGGCTTAACACACACACAATGCCATTCTCATGCTAAGCAGCTAGCGCTTACGCTAGAAACCAGCAAACCAGCCTGGAGCTGCACGTTAGCTGGTATTTTAGTCCTAGTGCGGTACAGGAAGCCAATTCAATCGTTGATAATGGAATTGACCTAAGCCCATGGGCTCTGCTCTCTCTCTCTCTGTCTTGTTCCTGCTCAGCCTAATGTGATCGGCTAAAGCAACGGGAGTTTCCTCCCAGCGGGCCGGGGGAGTTCATTTACCAACACTTACTGGTATAGGTAAATAAATGTGATGATCCCTTCTCTTTATCCAATCAGATCAATCACATGTAGCTCAGATGAGTTGGAGAACATCTGACATTTTCCAAAGCAAAAGTACAACTTATAATATAGCCTACATTATTTCAAGGCTTTTCAATCCAATATACAGTCTAACATATTTTGGACTGTCTTAGAAAAGCAAATACCATTTTTCTCCTTGAGAAAATAACCTTTGATGTTCAAGGTGGATCTCTGGGAAGAACAAGTAGGCAATCACCAAAACATCCATATAACAAGTTCCTGATGGAGACTAGAGAATTTCCTGTTGGGTTTTCTACGTAATTAGCATATGAATTGCAGGCCTGTGATGTGTGCTACGATACCTGCAACACTCTAATTAGAGATAACGATTTAAAGGAGGGTCATCCTGTTGCAGGGACATCTGGTTCCTCATCCACCTCCTGTCTGGGGGGAGGAGAGACTTGAACACACCAAAGAAAAAGGCCGTACTTCCTGTGTCTGGTTGAGGAGCCCAACTGGAAGGTCATTGCAGGAGGCGGGAAGCTAATAAAGCTTCTATGCTAGATCTTGATGAATACAGTGACCTTTTAGTAGAGGAATGTTGCTATTCCTGCTTTTATATCACAATTGAACCTGAGAGAGGAGGTGAACTGAGCTGTCGGCTCTAAAATTCTGAGAGAATATATTATCCACCTCAACAAAGTGCTGTCAAACATTTTCCTGGCAAGAGAAATAGACTAAAAAAAAGATCATAATGTATTAATCTATGCTTGGAAATTAGATGTAAATGACATAATACACCATAAAGCACTGTATGACTCTTTTTACACTTTTGTTCTTATGTCTGAAATGGATGTCTGAAAGATGTGTGTGTGTGCGACCAAAAGAAATGAACTGAAAATGTGTATCAGTCATGTGTGTTGAACAATAACCTCCTTTCACGATGTCCAAAATTATCAAGGTTCAGGCAAATAGCATGCATTTCACAGATTTCACATTCACTGGGTCACATCCTTGCAAACAAAAACGTCTTGCATAAGATTTTCTCAAGGTGGTTGCCAAAGAGTTGTGTAATGGCAGCATAGACACATGATATTAGAAATGAACTAGCGTTATTGTTCCCTTCAGTCATGAATAAAGAAAAGCTCGAATTAAGCACGATTTCCTGTTTGGTTGTTTGTTTCTGGGACACTATATGCGCTATAGAATCAGAATGTATTTTTAATTTCCAAAAAGTTTGATGCTTTGCAAGCAAACAAGGAAAGGATACAGCAAACATGGCATGGACAATACACACACACAATATTAATAAGGTGTTATGGTGAAGGCAGCTATAGTGGAAGTACTAAAAATGATCTAAAATAAAAGGTGGTAGGCTTCAGGTTTGTAGAATTAAAGGGTTAGTTCACCCAAAAATGAAAATTCTGTCAGTATTTACTCACCCTCATGTTGTTCCAAACCTCTATGTGTTTATTTGTTCTGCTGAACACAAAGGAAGATATTTGGAAGAATGTTTTAATCAAACAGATCTCATTCCCCATTGACTAGTATGTATTTTTTCCTACTATGGTAGTCAATGGGGAATGAGATCTGTTTGAATAAAACATTCTTCCAAATATCTTCCTTTGTGTTCAGCAGAACAAATAAACACATAGAGGTTTGGAACAACATGAAGGTGAGTAAATACTGACAGAATTTTCATTTTTGGGTGAACTAACCCTTTAAGTTGAAATGTAGTTGCAAAGTATGGTCAGTATGAGTGTATGTTGGGGGGACCATCAAAATAGTATTTTATCATGTCGAGTGTCTTCAGAGAAGTACCTGTTGTTGTTATGACTGCAGCGGCCGGAAACCAGGTGTTCCACTTCCTTTCTTTAAGCATGGTCATCAGTTAATGCCTGAACGTTTTCTGTTTGTGTTTCACAGAAATAAAGAACAGTGTATGGGTTTGGAGCTACATGAGGCTTAATGTCAGATCTTTCGTTTGTTGGAAGTACTCAAGATGTAACTCAAGATTCAAACATTTATAATTGCTGTAGCCTACTTAATAAACATTAACATACGGAACATGTTAAGAGGAACACCATGCACTTAACATCTTGACTGTTTTGATGAGCTCCACATGCAGCCCTGAGCCTGACTGTCACTATAAAGATGCTCCTTTTCAGGGTCCAGCATGAGTCTCTCTGCTGGGGAGAGATGAGAGCTGCATGACAACAACCCCGTACACAAACACCAGCCAGATACTACAGCACTCACCCACCCTCAACTAACCGTTGCTAGGCAGTTATGGTTGCTATGAGAGAGAGAGAGAGAGCTCTGGGCATCACCGGACAAAACCAGACACTCCTTGACGTTTATGTCAGCAGGTTGCTTGTTATTTTCAAAAATCATAAAAGGATGACAAGGCTGTGGAAAGAGTCCTCATCAAAGCTTATGTTCTTAAATTACTCTCTATGTTCTAAATGAAAATGAATGGAAAACCACAAGCCTTCATGTGAACCATGTAGAACTTTAACCGCATTAAAACGGCGAACTGTGTAGCTGTCATATATGGTGACTGTATTTTTAACATTTCTTTGTGTTAAAGTTTATTCAGGGCATAAGGGGTCTGTTTGTCAGGATGCTGGAAATGGTTGTCTGTGAGTCTGGAGGGCACTAAATCAATTGGCTGATGAATATGAACACTTCCTGTCAGGGCGCAGGAAGCTACTGTTTTAAATTACATTTGGGTTCAGCAGGTACCCACACATAATGCATCAATCCCACAGTGTTGCGGAATGGTGTTAAAGGTTACACTGTTAAAAAAACACATGAATATCTTGGATGACACAAGTGGGCTGAGTAAATTAGCAGGACATTTTAATTCTGGAGTGAACTAATCCTTTAAGAACATGTCTATTTCATTTGTATAAATAAGAAAATGTATTTCGCTTAAAGAAAATGAAAGATTTGAATTGTAGAATTGTGCATTGTAAAAAAAATAATAGTAATAGTATCATAATGAAAATCAACTGACTGAAATAACTAATCATACAATGTGTTTTTATTACAGCAATGAGAATCACCATTGAGCGTTGTGAATTATAGAAGTTGCACAAAAAAGTCTAGATTTTCATTACAACAAAATTGATGTAAAATATAATTTTGTTTTTTTCTGATTTTGGGGTGAAATTTAACCTGGACATGTTTTTAATTAGACCCACCCATCATTTTTCTCCCTCTTTCACCTATTTCATGTTCCTCTTCTTCATCTACAATCATGTTACTAGCATACTTAAATGGGGAAAAGAGATATTTCAGAAACAGTCAGTATTATCATATATTCAGCTATAACTCAACATAAGCAGTACAATTTTGGGGGGAATTTACAGAAAATAATTAACAACTGAAAAATTTGATCGGCTCTTTTAACTCCAGTGCTGGACTACAACTGTCATATTTAGCATTACGGTTTTTCCCATTCACAGACACTATAATATTTCTGTATTAAATCCACTACCCAAACCTCTCCATGCAGCTGCCACTCTTTTCTCCTCCATTCACTCCCAGCAAAAACACATTAGCTGCTGAGACACTCCTCGTTGCACTTGCTATGTCAGTCTAGTCTGAAAACCCAATATCAACATCTGTGTGGTAATCCCCTCGCAGGGCACTGAAATAGTACATTAATGACCCGTGTTTGCGGCAGGTTTCCGGTGTCGTCACTGGGTTTGTGGGCTGAAGACTTTGAGTAACAGAACCGATTTTGCCATGCACCTCTCTCGGTTTGCAATCTGCCCTTGTACTTCATCTTTGATTATCGCAGTGATGCGTCACTCTCATGATTAAAGACATGCCCAGCCCATTACATAAACACCAACTCAAGAAATTAGATCAGTTTAAAACCCTGCCTTCACAAGCATCATGCCGTTTGCCAGAGATGTATTTAGATAGTTTTTTTTCTCAGTTCAAATATATCTAAAGGTCAGGGGCAAAGATGTTCCTTTAAAGAAAAAGCTCACTAAATATCACAAGACACAATAAATGCTTTGGCTAGACAGGTTTCTCTGTGTTTTGCTGGGTCAGATGGGCAACTCTGCAGATTGTAGTCTTGAGGGGGTGGAGGATTCAGTGTTCCCTTGTGGTTTATGGCTTAGCTGAGCTCAGCCACCTGGTTTTGTTTGTGTAGGTGATCCAAAATAATGCGTACTAAAATATTAAATAAAAATCCCCTGACTCATTCAGGGGGAATTATTTGGTAACAGATACAATAAGGTAAAAGCACTTAGCTTGCTACATTCACTTTTTTTCTTTCTTTGACAAGTAGATTGCTAAGGTCACACATTGGGTTTAATGGGGACATTAAAATTCAAAAGAATAAAACATCACTTAATATGATTTATTCCTCATGGGGACCAACATTTTTTGGATATTTTGGGCATTTTGTCCTTGTTACATAGCATGAACCAAACACACACATATATGAATCAGAATTCATCCTTGTTTTTGACACTGATAATAAAGAGGTGATGTGCTACTTGCTTTTGCTAAATTTGAAATGGGGCAGACTTGTCCCTGAATGTGTATCAGGGCTGTAAAAGCGCAGCTCTAAGCCCACGCTTCTCATCTCTGGCAGCCGAAAGCAGGTCACTCTCTCTTCATTTGATTGCATCACTGCTTTAAAGACATAAGGTTCTTTAGTCAGCCCAGGTCAACAGTTTATGAAAAGGAAGCATTTTTAATTCAAACTGAGAAAATAACATCCGTTTGGGGAAATTAGACCAGAGTGCGTTGCAAAATCATATTCTAATTCAGGCTTTTTGTTGGACATTCAATAGCTGCAGAGGTTGCGTAAGCCACCTTTAAAATTCTTATCAAAACTCATCAAAGAGGAAAATGAATGAGCGAGTGAATAATTTCCGACAGCAGCGATCGTTATCTTTTTCAGGCAGACGTGTCTTTCACTGTGATATTGGCGGAATAAAGTGAGGCTCTCTGTGTGCTTATCAGGATTGTCGAGATGTGGTGATGGTGGATTGGATTGGGCAGCTGTGGTTACCAGACGCCAGTGCGTTGGTGTAGTAGCACTCAGAGTGTAATTACCGAACATGCTGTGACCAGCACAAACAGTGAACGGCAAACACAGAACATCAATACGACTGTCAATGGGCAGCTCCCGCGGATCTTATGGCTAATGACAAACAAGAGGGCTGTTGGACAGATGAGGTGACTGCAGGCGCCGTGTCTCGAAGCAAGTCAATCCTAGAGGGACGTCACTGCGGTGCGTGGCGGAAACGAAATCCACACCCCCGCTCTGTTTGCCGTGTCAACGTGCGCACACCTGGATGATTTCTCACCTATCACTTGCTACCCACTCCACATCCGCTCATGTTATGTCAGCAGCAGTCAAGGCTGGAGCTTGATACAAAGTCACCAAAGTAATTCTTTTGAGTAATAAGATGCTCCCCCGGCTCCCTGCAAGATAAATAAGAACATAGTATTTAAAAT